ATTGTCTGAAAGTCGCCCGCTCGCACGAGCGACTTGCTGCCTACTTCCGCCCAGAGGGCGGCGCAGCTCGCACGTGGGAGCAGGCCGTCAAAGGCCGGCCAGGATGCTAAGGGCATTCGTCCGCTAGGCCGCATCTTCGGTTTCACCCTGCTCACGCACCGTCTGTCGGGTCGGGCGAAAGGGGGGGATAGCAAAGGGGGGGTTTGAGAATCAGCTCACGTAGCTGATTTTCCCGGCGCCTCCCGGCGCCGGAGGCGGCCATGTATCGAGGAATGGGCCCTCGGTGAGGCCGAAACCAGCTGCATGCAGCAAATTTCGTAACCCCCCCTTTCCCAATCCCCCCCTTTCGCGCGGCCCGAGTTTCACCCTGCTCACGCACCGTCTGGTGCAAAGCTTACCTGACCTGACCCGACCATCTGTTGGCCCCCCATCTCCGGCGACCCGATGGTTCAGGTGTAGGCCGCTCCGGTTCCCGTTCCAATCGTCGGATGCCTCGGCCAGCAGCGAGCCCTGGTCCTCACCTGGCCCTCAGGGGACTGGCACTCGCCACGATCTGGCGCCAGACTTGGAGATTTCGGTTATGGGATTGCATGTGTCGTCTAAGAAGCTGCTGGCTTGCCCCCAAGGCTCGCCAGCTCCTGGTTCCTGCGGGGTGGTCTGACTCCTTGGTCGCATCACTGTCCAACTACAATTTGTTGCATCATTTTTGTGCCCTGGCACGTGCGCTGCCCTCCAAGGCGGCACGCTCCCTAGTAACAACGTGTTGTGTTTTCGCCTGGCCATCCTGGTCCCGCATCCAGCTGGCGCGGGCCCTCTGCAGCAAAACCTGACATCCTGGCAACGGGACGGGCAGCCGGATGCTCCCGCCCCTACAGCCGCGGGCCCCCTTCCTCGTGTACTGGTTCACCTTGCTCTTCGCGCGTCCAACACCTGCAACCCTGGCTTCGTCCCCTGGGTGTGGCCGGGATGCCGTCCCGTCCACGGCCGGGCCACTTCGTCCCTGGCTGGCCGCTCCGGCGCGCCCATCCTCAAGCGCTTACAGCCGGAGACTGCCCTGCTCTTCCCTCCTGTACTCTGCGGCCGCTCCTCCCCCCCGCGCGCCCTCTCTTGCAACTGGACAATTCATGAGTCGCATGTCCCCGACAGCTCGAGCGCCCGTGCGGACTGCCTTTGCCGTGCTGCGACGTAGAGAGCTGTCGGCTGAGGAGCAATCGCGCAAGCGACGAGGAACGTCACACGAAGGAACAATTCGGCTTTTCAGGCAACGGCGAGCCTCGATGAGGCCCCCCGACCCAAACCCACGGAACGACCCGAAAACCAAGGCCAGTCCTGAGCCCAGAGTGGCCCTTATTCCAGCGTCTTCGTTGTAGACAAAGGAGCAGTCGCGCCAGAGACGTAGGTGTGGAATCACAGGGCATTTTTTTCACACCAGGCGATTTCGCCCGGTCTCAGGCCCTGGGACAGTCACAGATCGATCCGGATCGAACGTCGCAGCTGAACGACTGGTCGAGGGCTCTGGTTGCAGTTTCCGCGATGTTGCATTTGTTTCGCAACATCGGATCTCGAGGTCCCTCTTCTACGCCGCCCTCTGCTTCTGCCGCTCCCGCTCGCTGTTCCCCCTCTTCGCCACCATCCTCCTCCTCCTCCTCCTCCTCCTCCTCCTCCTCCTCCTCCTCCTCCTCCTCCTCCTCCTCCTCCTCCTCCTCCTCCTCCTCCTCCTCTCTTCGCCACCAGCCCGAGCTCCTCCGCCCTGCCCCTCGCCCCTCCTCCGCTCTCTCCCGGCTTTTGTCTGCTCTTCCCCCCCCCCTCTCCGTGCCGTGCTCCTGGGAACGTCGAAGCCAGACCCCAACAGGGCCCAAAGACGGCCCCAGACGAGAGAGACCAAGGCCGCGCGAACGGCGATGTCAGTAGCCCCTCGCCCGTCCTCCGCGCTCTCTGCGCATCTGTTTGCTCCTCCCCCCCTCCCCCGTGCTCCTGCGAACGTCGAAGCCGAACCCCAACAGGGCCCAAAGGCGGCCCCAGACGAGAGAGACCAAGGCCGCGCGAACGGCGACGTCGGTTAACAGCGATGTTGGGCCACACTTCAAATGTGCGAATGTATCGAGCGAGAACGACGCAGCGAATTGCAGGAGAGCACGGAGAGCACGAACCACGATGTCCTACAGTTGGTTTGGCCACGCGCCACTCCCACCTACAATGCCGAAACCTTCATCGTCCTTATCTACATCGCCGTTGGCGCCTCTACGGACGAGAGAGAGAGGGGGGGGCCAAAGGCGGCACCCAGGACGCACAGGAGAGCCCAAGGAGGTCCCACGGGAACCACAAGCAATCCAAGCACGGCACACGCAGGCCCACGGAGAGCCCCCTCAAACAACAGAGACGTGAGGCGTCGCACGGCAATGCCTTTTTTTGAGCGGTGCCGAAGCCCAAGGCCGCGCTGACGGCGTGTTTCGTTAACAATGCGGTTGGGGATCTTTGTGACACCAATCTCACGCAAAACACAATGCAAGACATCACGAGACACCGCTTCCTACATTTCAAATGTGCGAACGTATCGAGTGGCAACGGCACGGCGAATTGCAGGAAAACGCGGCACACGCGTTCTTACAATCGTTTTGGCCACGAGCCACGCCGTCCTACAATAGGGTGTCCTACTTCGCCGTCAGCTAACACACCGTTAGCTTGTCTACGGGAGGCGCCGCCACACAAAATGTTGCGGTGGCACGGTGGCGGAACTTGCCGCGAGCAGCGAGGCAGGAAGTTCATCGCCATCGCAACTGGAGGACCTCATGTTTGCTCATTGGCGGCCGACGAGGTGCAACGCGATATGGTTGTTCCAGCTCGTCGAATAAACAGGTGATGTCGTGCCCGCTTGCGTTAAAAACTTACTCGGTCTACGAACCTGAACGTCACAGTTTCGAGTTGGATGCCCACAGTGATGTCGCACTCGCTTTCGTCTGGGCATCCAGTGGGACGTCCTGTGGATCATCCATCCCTCTGCCGACGAGGGATAGCACGACCCATAACAACTGCCCTACGCAAGTATAACCTTACTCCCTGAAAGCTCGCGCGCAAAATTCTGATATTACTTCCACAGACCAGCCCGAGCATGCCAAAGCCCGGATGGCGCACCTCTGATGCCTTCTCCATTGTCTCATACTCTTGGCAACCAAGAAGATGCCAAACTGACTGGGTAGGGTGGCTAGGAGTACTCCGTGCCGCTCGACCCGCACGCTTTTTCCCTGTGTCGCATGAGAGTTCGAGCACGGTCCGGACTACGCCCAATCCCACCAGCCTTTTGGGCGTAGGTGGTCTAGGGCGGCTCCTCTTCCAAACCTTTGTGTAACTTCGGGGAGGGGTCCACCCTTCCCCCCCAAGACCCTTCGAAGACGGCTCCGGGTGACCAGGGAGCCTCCCCAAGGGCCGCCAAGAAACCCAAATCCTTCAAACATTTACGCAAGGCAGATCCATGAATTTTGCAATATCGCCTGTCCGCTTTGGTTGGCCTACCGAGGTCTCAAGATGGTTCCACGATAGCCCAAGAGGGCCCCCCAAGAGAGGCCCAAGACGGCCCCAAGAGCGCCCAAAAGCGCTTCCAGAGCGCCCCAAGAGCGGCTCAAGAGGCGATGTGTGGGGCTCCCGAGGGGGAACCCCAATTAAGAACCCCCCCCCTACTTTGATCGATCTCCTCCCAGATGGCCCCAAGGGCGCCCCCAAGGCTCCCCAAAGCGCCCCAAGAGGGCCCCAAGAGGGCCCCGAGAAGCGACCAAGAGGCCGCAAGAGGCGCCCAAGAGGCCCCCAAGAGGCTCCAAACAAAAAACAAGAGACCCCAAGACGCTTCCCGTAACACCCAAGATGCTCCAAGAGGCCCCCGGGACCGCCAAGAGGCCTCATCGTCCTCCTCCTCTTCCTTTTCATTCCCCTCGTCTTCCTCCTCCTCCTCCTCCTCGTCCTCCTCCTCCTCCTCCACGCCCCCCCCTCGAACGATAACGGCAGTCCCCCTCTTTGCTCCTACACCTCCCTCGTCGCCTCAACTCGCCTGGGCGACGGTTTTGGATGGGTTGGTGGAGATTTCTTCGTTCGCGAGCGCGCAGGTGCGCCAGGCGCCGTCAGAGCGAAGCAGCAAACCACGATCTAAATGAAGCCCCGAGAGCGCAGAAACGAACTACGCTGCGACTCAGAAAACGAAGAGGGCCAGGAAGAGCACAAGGTCCACGTGCAACGCGGGAGGCCGGCGCACTCGAGGACCACCGTCGCGCAGTCGAGGAGAACGAAGGGCGGGCGTGCAGCTGGTGGGGACACGCGAAGCGTTTGGAATTTCGCGTTTATTAAATACAAAACAGTGAGGGCATTGGGAAATGGATCATGGAATACGTGATCCGGGATCTGGAAGCCGATGGAACTCCCATCGTTGGTTGGCAATGGGAATCACCGCCGCCCTCAGTAGATAAGAAGCCCCCCAGGGTCTGAAACCTCTGGGGCGCATTCCTCAACGAGCGCCCACACCGTACAGGGTCCTCAACACTGCTGGCGGCCAGAGACCTTCTCGTGCATCCAAGGAAGACGCTTGAAGCTACAGTAAAGGAGGACAAGGGTTGTACGTGATGTGATAGAGGGAAGGAGAGAGAAGACACACACACACATGTATATACATACAGATGTGTATATTTATGTGTATACTAATAAAGCAAAAGAGGGAGAAAGAGAGAGAGAGAGAGAAATAATGAGAAATGAGGGAGAGACAGAGATGGATACACATGTACATATCAATACATATGCGTATATATTAGAGAGAGAGAGAGAGATAACTGATATATGAGGACACATCATGAGATGGATAGAGGGGGTCGAACGATATACATCGCGCCTGGCCATGCCACCCTCGAGTTCTCGTGCTCCCCATCGATCCCTCCTGGAACGCCCTGCAGTTCCTGGATGAGCGGGGGCAGAGCGCGGGAACGGCGGGGGAACCGGCGACGGGAACCCCCGGTGGCCCGCGCCTTGGTCTGGCGCTCGTCCAGCATGAAGAAGAGGCCGCTCAGCTGCAGCTCCTGTCCGCTCCCGGCCTTCCGCCCCTCCGCCCGTGCAGCCCGGGCGCCCGCCGCCCCCCCCCCCCTCTTCCCCCTCCTTCCCCCCCCCCCTCGTGCTCTTCCCCCCCTGCCCCTTTCTCGTGTTCTCCCTCCCTGTCACCTCTTCGTGTCCTTCCTCCCTCCCCCGTCTTCCCCCCTCCCCCCTCTCGTGCTCTTCCTCCCTGCCCCCTCTCGTGTCCTTCCCCCCTCCCCCCCTCTCGTGTCCTTCCTCCCTCCTGCCTCTTCCCCCCCCCTCCCCCCTCTCGTGCCCTTCCTCCCTGCCCCCCCCCCCTCTCCTCCGCAGCCCCTTCCAGTATCCGAATCGGACGGTCCCGTGGCGCCTCCGATCGGCACGGCGCGCCTTGAGCCCAGGTCGGCATCGCTGCCACTCCCGTGCCGGCGCGTGGCGTCGTCCAAGGCTTTGCCTCAAACGCCTGTGCAGAGGGCACGTCTGCTCTGTAGCACTTGCGAAGCCCGATGGCTACACCCACCGTTGAACTATGAACGCGGAGCGGAGATCTGTACTGCGAGGCGTTCGACACATGCGTTCGCCAGGATGCCGCAACTGACCCTGGGCTCGGGGCTGGGCTACGACAGGCTGAGATACGGCAACACGAACCCCTGTCGCCTCCGTGCTCTCGTTGCCCCTGCATGCCACCACCTCCTGCTTCCAAGATGGGACATTCTCGTATCGGGGCTCAGAGGGGGGAATTGCAGCGCGCCCTGCGGCACTCTTCTTGCGAGCTTACCCATCGGTCGGAAGAAGTAGGTACAACAGAAACATACAGTAGGAAGGCATTGACAATATATTGGGTTCCGTCCGCCCCTTAAGGAGGACGGAAAAGGTGAAGCCACTCGATCATTGAAGTAGGATGGCGATGAAAGTAGATCGAAATCGCTGAATCCAAAAATACATACTTTCAACGACCGATGGTTAGCTTCTTCGGCTTCTAACCACCCTTGTAAGACGCACGCCTCTGGAAGTGATGGACAGCATGGCCGCGGTTGTCCTTCAGCACTTGAACTGCCTCTGCCAACGCTTGTTGAACCATCGCCTTTCATGTATCGCGATGCTCGTATGCCGCTGTTGGGCAGACATCTCCAAGATGCGCATACCATGTAGGACTCCTGCGCGCTGCTAACAAGGCTGCCGTACATGTTGCAGCCTCAATATGATTGCTCGATATTGCCATTCGCCATTGGAGCTGCGTTTGTTGGTGGTCGCTACGCATCATGGCTTTCCTCTCTGTGCCAGACCTGCATGCCCAACTTGTTGACGATCTGTTGGTCGACTTGCCTGGCCACTCCAACTCTGCTCCTCGGTTGCCGAAAGGCATGGTGGGGTGCCTCTGATCTCGCCGCTGTCCCAATGCTCTGCGCGCACGCCTCCCTGAATATATATATATATACACACATATATATATATATGTGTATATATACATATATATATATATATAATGTTATATCTATTTATTTATATATATATATATATATATCCTGGGGCATGGTCCTGCTGAGGCGGTTTTGGGGCACCCTCTCAGACTGCATCTGCCGCCCCTGCATTGTGAGCGCCAACCAACTTCACCGCGCAACCAATCGAGACTGGCCATGCCCGCGTCCACAACCATTGAAGGGGCCCAGGGACACACAAATGAATACACACAAATCCCAAGATTCCCCATATGTTCGTATATGTCCTGGGTTTTCGTCTTCCCCCCCCGCTTCCCATATTTTCCCAGCTTTTCCTGGGGATCGACGACTCATTGTGTCTCTGCGTGTTCTTGCTCCCCTCCTGAACCATTCCGGCTGCCGCCACCGCGCGCCTGAGGATTTGAGCTGCGACCCTGCACCTCATGCGTTGGAGTGCAGCCTCGCCTCGGGCCCTTTTTGCATTCTGACGGTAAGCTTGACTATTCGCCGTCTTTGCCGCCCGCGCTCAAGCCGATGCCGAGCGTGCTCGCGCCTGATGTCCTCCCTGCCGCTGGGACCAGTTATCGCAATCGCTTGATCTTGCGGGGCCGTCGTGTGCGCGCTTCTTGTGCGCTCTGTCTCCTCTACCGACTTGGGCGCGGACTCGAAGCCAGTGCATTCAAATGAGCGCATGCACGGTATTACCGCAGGCAGGTCGCGCGCGACCGCGAGCGGCTCTGCGCTCGCGCGTCCGCTCTCTCGATGTCCCCCCCAACGAACGCCGCGATTTCTTGTCACCCACAACTCGTCAAACACATACTTTTGTGAGGATGGTTTTGAACCCAGCCGCAACCTCGAGCGCTTCCTCCGCTTCCTATGCTTCATTCCCTTGAGCGTTGGTATACGTGCGCCCATGTTCCTACGCATCGCTCCCTCCCTCGCTTCTATCTCCCTCTGTCATCATCCCTCACGATGCTCTCTCTCTCTCTCTCTTTTCCTCTCTCTCACTCTCTCCCACTCTCGTTATCTCCCGGGCGCGTTCTCTCTTTCTTTTCTCTCTGTCTGTCTCTCTCTCTCTCTTTCTTTCTCTCTCTCTCTCTCTCTCTCTCTCTCTCTCTCTCTCTTTGCCCCATCTCAATTATATACCAATACATGTATGTGTACAACCCTCTCTCTTTCTCCTGTTGTCGTTGTGTTTTTGCTGTTGCTGTATGTCTCTCTCTCTCTCTGCCTGTGTGTGTCTCTTTTTATGATTGTGATTATCTCTCCCTCGCTCAATACACCTGGTTCTCTCTCTCTGTCTCGCAATGTATGATTGTATGCCGCTCTCTCTCTCTCTCTTTCTCGTTTTCCTTCTTTCTCTATCTCTCTTTCGCGTTATGTATGTTATTGTGTTCACTGTTGTTCTCTCTCTCTCTCTGTCTCTCTCTCTCTCTCTCTCTCTCTCTCTCTCTCTCTTTTACCGTCCACACACAAACATCTATACATACATACATATATATATATATAGAGAGAGAGAGAGAGAGAGGGAGAGAGTAAAGGGGCGGCAAAAACCGCCCCCTCCCCCAAAACCTCACCCCCATGATCCGTGGCCCCAGGGGCCCGTTGGACGGCCCTGCTGGAGGCCACCACCCTGGACGCCCCTGGGGGCTTCCTGGACGCCCCTGCCGGGCCTTGGCAACGGGCCCAGAAGGGGTCAGGAGGGCGGCCGAACGGCCCCCCGAGGGCCCCAAGAGGTTCTAAACACCCACCAAAAGCCCGAAAACTACCCAAAGAAGACCCCCAAGAGGCTCTCGAAACGCAAAACAACATGGATGTTCTCATTGTTGCATGATTTTGGGGATGCCCTGTTCGTCGGTTTTCCAAGCGTCCGAAACCGCCCAGAAGCCCCGAAAGTCGTTCAAAATCTATCCGAAAGGTCTTCAGGCAGTCCAACAGAGCCCCAGGACGGCACAACAGGGTTCCAATATAGCCCGAAGACAGCCCCATGACGGCCCAAGATGGCCCCAATGTGCCCACCAACGCGTTCCAAATCGTGACCCGGTCGTTCAAGGAAACCGCGGCTGGAAGCAGGGTTGCCCGAGGACCCCCCCACAAGGCGCTCAGGAGGCCTCCAGACGGCCCCAGAGAGCCCTTAAAAACTTTCGCGGGACCCCCAACATGTTCTCAAAGCAGGAGCCTCCGCAAAAAGAAATGGGGAGGATGGGGAATCATTCGCAGGGTGACGCGAACATGAAGGAGAAGCAAAAACATGAGGGAAGGATGATGAAAAGCATGATTTTCACGGCGATACCAGAACGACAACGCAACAAGGAATTATCGTTGAACTGAATGTTTAACCTTCCTGCCCTTGCGCTTGATTGCCAAACTTCAACGACCAAAGCGTACGGCGCGACACGCCAACGCATTTTTGCATTATCGATATCGGCGTCTGTATGCATATGTATTCACACATATGTATGTATGTATGTATGTACGTATATATATATATATGTATCCATGGACACATGCACACATATACATATATGTTTGTGTGCGTAAGTGCATATCTAATGACGGGCACACGCACAAATCGTTGGCTCTGCCGTCGATACCGATGAACACGCCACGTGCACTCGCAAACCTCGGCGCGGGTGATGTCCACACACGCGTCGTTGGCAAGCGCGCTCCGCTGTCTTGCTGCTCAATCGCGTCCGTGTTTTCTCTGCCGCCGGCTCGCCGTACCATACCAGCTGCCACGCGTCCTGCGCCGCGTCGGCGCACGTGTTTTTATTCCCTACCTAGGCTCTGCCTAGAAGGGTTCTTACTGTGTAGGTTGACCCGGGCCCAGCAGTGTAACCCGCCCCGGGCGGTTCCCCCAGTCCCCTGGGAGCCAAGCGAAAGCAACAACAAAGGTAAAAGCAAACGCGCGGTTCCCCAAGTTGCGCTCCCTGGGTGCCAGGCGAAAGCAAAAACAATGTCAGAACTGAAGGCAAAAGCGAAGGCATAGCAAAAGCATAGCATAACATAGCATGGCATAGCATAGCATAGCGCAGCATAGCATGGTATAGCATAGCCTAGCCCCGTATAGCATTGCGCATCATAGCATAGCATAGCATAGCATAGCGCAGCATAGCATAGCATAGCATAGCATAGCGCAGCACAGCATCCAATATTCCTGATATACATATATATATGTGTGTGTGTACGCAACTGTGTGTACTTATATGTGTAGTAATGTTCCCTACTTGCTTTCCTAGAGGCTCCAACTCCTAGGTGAGGTCGCGCTGGGATTGTGTACTCTTCTTCTAAAATACAAGAACAGCGCAACTGTTTGGTAATGGCCGCCGAACACGGAACATTGCTGGCTGAGACCATGCAGGTTCTCACTCATCACGCCATGGTTTCCCGATCGTTCGACAAGCCCCCCACTTTCCTGGATTTCCTTTGGTTGAGCGGCGCGGTGCCCCAGCGGGCGTGTTCTTCATCGGTTCGCGGATCCTGCTGCCTGTTGCGACGGAGTCGCCATGGCCTGCTTGCGTCGGCCCTTCGGGCCATCTGCCAATCATGGCTGCGGTCGTCGACCTTCGGGA